ATGTATAAGTCGAAACTTTGATTTTTGCAAAAATCAAGCTTGGCTTTTTTTGAAATGCTGAAATAGTTCTTGAGAAATTGAATCAATATCGAAAAATTATTGAAAGTGATGATGATAACGAAATTATACCAATAACTCGTAAGGTTATTCAACTCTTTTTCTACCGATTTAAAGCTCATCCGATTGTTCCAACACATAAATTTTACAATAATGGTGAAGAAATAAATCCCTTGTTTATGGAAAGTGCAGGTACAAAGTCCAAAGACATGAAAAAGTTAGAAGTAGAAATTTGTTATTTTCCTGTAATTGCAATTTTAGATTCCATTGATAATAATTCAGACAATGTTTTTTCCAAAGCTCTGATAATTCCCAAGTCTAAAAGCAACAATACTTTATTAGAAACTTCCAATGTTAGTTCATCTGAATAGATATTTCCCTTTATTAATAGGTGTTAATTTTTTCGATATATATTTTTGTCTCAATTTTATTGCTTTTTTTACAAGCATTATCTTAAGTAATGCTTACAATTATAATAAAGATCGTACAAATTTTTAGTTGAAATAAGTACGCAATGTCTAAAGAAAAATCATTATTTTGTGTGTTGCGTACTATTTGATTATTATAAGATTAGTTACAAAATGTCGTATTGAAATTGTACTTTATTAATATGCATGTTGAATTATTTTGAACTTTGGAAGTAAACTATATGGCATGTGCTTACGTACGTAGATCGACTACCAAGATTATGATTAAATTTTTTATTAATAAGTTAAAATAATCAAATACTTTAGGGAGCTGAAAAATATTAGGTAATTATAGCCTTCTCAAGGAATACTCATTCGACAATGCAATTTAATATGACATACCAATTTAACTTATTAAATTGCAATTACCTAATATTTGTCAGCTCCCTTAGGTTATGGGAAAAAAGCAAAATTTTCTGATTGAAAACGATTTGAGAACCATTTCAGCATTTCAAAAAAAGCCAAGCTTGATTTTTGCAAAAATCAAAGTTTCGACTTATACATAAAGTTTTATTAATAAAATTTAATATAGTTTCCCCTTGTGTCATTCATATATTGTACACTATAAGTATATCAGTTTTATAAAAAACAAATGAAAAAAAATTTAGCGAATCTAGCCTCAGTTGTGCCAAGAATATAAATGCGTGTAAAAAGAATTAAAACAAGGTAGAAAATATACGCGAAAATAAATAAAAGTGGAATAATAAAATATTACAGTATTAATAAGTCGGAAATTAAGATCACTTATCAATAGTGAGATTATTATTATTATTGACAATCTTAAGTTTTAGCATCCCATTCAAAAGTCCGACATAACCAACTTGATAATGTTGAAAATCCCGGAGGTTTATATTGCAATGAAGAAGTTCTACATAGTTACGATTATAATGAAACCGTATTCCATTGTTGTTACTGTTATCAATTCGAATTAAAAGGCAAGAAACGTGGCAACCATTTTCATTTTGAAGCGTTGCAAGTGTATTATCGTTGTTATCAGTAATTTTAAATGGGCGATTATAATTATTGATACCAAATATTTTAATTTCAAATTGCCTGTTATTATAACTTACAAGACGAATACTACAAAGACGGTCTAAAGTGTCTTCTTCTTCTAAAGATGGTTCAGGGGGTGGTGGATTATGTTTTGGCCTTTTACGCGACGCCATTATTGAAGGAAAAAGTTGCCAGTATGTAAATAAAATAGGCTAAACATTCAATGTACTTTATCTATTTCGGCTCAATCACAGAGTGGCATGATTTGCCGGTGTAACGCCTGTATTTCACCCAGAAGAATTCAGGGGACTAATGTTTACAGTATGACGACTATAAACTATAGTGATTTGGTTAGGAATATTTGACGTCGATGATACGACTTATCAAAGAGGATTTATAAGGCTCGTTCGAAAAAGGCAAACAACTAAGTTTATATGAAGATACAAGTAGTCGCACTAGGAAGTTAACAAAATATTTGAAGTACCACGCGATATGTATTTCCACGATAATCACGTGATTGATGTTGAAATCGATTAATAATGAGTGGGTTAGGGTTAGGGTGATCTGCAAAATTTAGCCAATCAGATTTTTTAGCTTCAACATCAGCCAAACTTCAGCATCAGCCGTAACAATATATATATAAAGATAATAAGGGAAATGAAGAGAAAATCTATGGAATATCAGGACTCTAATAGAAATATGTAGATGAGGACAAAGTTATAACTAAGTTTGAGAAATTTGGTGGGAGGTGAAAATGAGCTCTTAAATAGATGATCGGGAGTACATAAATTATTACAATACTTAACTCTACAACATCAAGGCGTTTTCGTCTAACCGATAATTGTAATTATCCGGTAGTTACTATTGATCATGTTACTCATATTAATGCTCCCCCAAGAACACCTCCAAAAATTCTGCGCACCAATCAGCTTGCAAGATCAGGTGTAACGCACTTTTTGAAAAATCGTTTGTATGGTGCTCCAAGTCACTTCTCATCAAATGCGCCAAATTTGGCTAGATATATTCAAGATGCGCCAAATTTGATTTGGCTAGATATAAAATTTGTAACTCAGGAGATTCCATTAATGAATCTAATATACAAGCATAAATAGAATATTGATTATAATCAAAATTCGTAAATTTTAGTTAAACTTTAGG